TCTGCCCTGACTCCCATGACAAATCTGTAAGAAACTGCTCAATAAATGAAAGTGCTGTACAATTCTGACCTGCTATACACTGGGGTACCATGGATACCAAAGAACCCATTAAACGATCAAAAGCAGAATAGTACTCATCAATGGACATGTCTCTGTGTTCAATAGCATGAAGTTGCTGCATGAGAGTATGTTGAAGGGCACCACTTTCCTGAACATAGCGGTCCTTCAAATAAAACCACAAAGGTTTGGCTTGCTTAAACTTGCGCAGACTCGTAATCATGGTTTGTTTAACACTGTTAACCATAGCAGCCATGACTTTTCCATCATTGATTTCCTAGGTTTTGGCAGCAGCGGCATTACTATTATTAGAGTTAAGAGTTGGTGGATCATCAGTCAAATGAAAATAAAGACCATGACCCCTCAATGCAGTTTCAACAGTAAAAGCCCACTCTAAATAGTTCTGGCCATCCAGTGTGATATTGATGACAATAGCAGAAAGCTGAGACTGAGACATGATGGACTCTATACAATAGCAGTAAAAAGCAAAGAAGTGGCAGGGATATCACCACAACTGAGCGATCGCTTCGAAGACAAGCAGCGGGCGTGAAGACAGGCAGCGGTAGTTCCACGTGTAGCACCGCGCGTGAAGAAGTCCATAGTCGCCGCTGCGGGAATGCTGCGCACGTGAGGACCGCGCGTGGAGTCGGAGACCGCGCGCCTGGAGTCGTCCACGCATGAAGACCGCGCGCCTGGAGTCGGATCGTGTCCGTGTGAAGGCCGCGTGTCCGCGAAGAAGTCCGCGCATCCGCGCGTGAAGTCCGCTCCGCACGGGTCCGCTACCGCCCGCGAGACGAAGATTGCGGGTGACGGAAGAGCTCGCGCGGGGATGAAGACGTTGGACGAGTGGGCGACGGGAGACCAGCGCACGACGACGGGCCGCACGAAGAGGAAGGAATGGTACGATGACGGGCCGCACGAAGATGAAAAACCGACGTGACGACGGGCCGCGCGGAGCAGAGAAACGCATCACGACAGATCGCACGAAACAGAGGAAGGTTCCCAAGGGGGAAAAATTGGATCGTGGGTGAATTAGATCAGGCTAATCCTAACCCTAATCCATGGCTTTGATACCATGTTACGAACCTTGGGGATCTGAGAGCATAACCACTCCAGAAGTGGAGATGGGTATATATAGAGGGCTAGAGAGCCTCATGGGCCGGGCCATATAGGCCTATAATATAAGAGCCTTCATACATTTAACAAATGGAAGCTTAATATTGATAGGGCTAGGGGAACTGGATGGTTTATTCATGATCAGGGGATTATTATTCAACAATGGCTAAACCTAAGCAATGGCAGCAGCAGAGCTAGATCGCCCTCCTTGGGAGGCTCTGATCAACAATACTCTGCTCCTGCCTGCCTCTAACAATCAGCCGGCCCTTAGTTATATCCCCTAATGGCCGGCTGTACACTAACAAACCTGCTAACTAATCTCCTATTCTTACTCTCGAGATCCTAACTTGTAGTAGCAGCTCCCCTAACAGATAACTATGTCCCAGAATTAGCCACTAGAGGCTGCTGGCGCCTTCTTCCTTGTGTACTGCTTTCCAATGAAAGCGTCCATAACACTTCCACCCTCTTTAAAAACAGCTCGTCCTCGAGCTAGAATTTGGGATAAGTGGTCCTGAAATCTTCCAGCAGCTCCCAGGTGGAATCAGTGGGGCCCTAGCCGAGCCACTGCACCAGGAGTTCCCATACACCATGGTTGAGACGAAACCGAGCAATGTGACTTGGTTCTGGTACAGCATGGCCGTGGACCACCGTTGGCAGTGGAACGATGTTAGCTGAAGCCTCGCCATGGAACTTCTTCAGGAACACCATGTGAAAGGGATCTGTGCTGTAGGCCGCTTCCCACCAGCACAGGTGTGGGCACATTGTGGATGCGTGCCTTGGCATTCTGATTGTTCTTGATGGCTGTCGCAGCGTGCTAGAGAAGGCGGAGCCACACCCAGTCGCCCACATTGAATGGCAAGTCCTGGTGTGCAGCGTCATGGCCCTGCTTCATGATGCTCTAGGCTTGGAGGAGCCGTTCCCCGACAACAGCTAGGAACTCATCCCTGTCCGTCAGTTGGTTGTCCAGTGTGGCCACCCTTGTGAGGCCTAGGTGGTGGCCGGCAATACACCACATCGAATGGTGTCACCTTGAGTGCTGTTTGGAAGGACAAGTTGTAGCAAAACTCGGCCCATGGCAGCCACGACAGCCAGCTTCGCGGTCGATCGATGACAAGGCAGCGAAGGAAAACGCCGAGGATGTGGTTATTGACCTCCGAATGTTTGTCTGTTTGGAGGTGGAAGGCGGAGCTGAGTCAGAGTGTGACGCCGAACAGGCGAAAGGGCTTGGTGCAGAAGGAGTTGGTGAAGACTGGGTCCCTGTCGTTGACATGGAGCATGTGAGCCCATGGGGCCGCACGATCCGGTTGAAGAAAAGCCTGGGCGACGGACGTCAGCTGTAGGGGTGCCCGATGGCGATTAAGTGCGCGTATTTGGAGAAGCGATCGACCACCGTGAGGACCACTAACTTGCCGTCAACCTTGGGGAAGCCGTTGATGAAGTCCATGGCGATGTTGGCCCAGACGGCGTGGGGAACGTCTAGTGGCTGCAACGTTCCGGTCAGGTGCAAGTGCTCGGTCTTGTTCCGCTGGCAGACGGCGCAGCCCCACACGAAGTCCCCGGACACGTCGGCTCGCGTGGGGCCGGTAGAAGGATGCGTGCAGATGGTGGAGCGTCTTTTGAACGCCCTCATGGCTGGCGCCATGAGCCGTCGAGCTGAGGCTACATTACAGAGGAGTCGGGGACGAAGTTGAGGCCACGATGCAGGACGAAGCCGTCGACGGTGGTCTAGTTGGCACCTGCAAGGCCCTTGTCAATCTCTTGGCGCTTGGCGACTATGTCCAACAATGTCTCTGCCTCCGCCTGGAACTCGTTGAACAGGTCGAAGTCCGGACAGGAGAGGGCGCAAGTAGTCATGGCCGCAGCGTCCTCGTCACGGCGTGACAAGGCATCAATAGCTGCGTTCTGGCGCCCGGGCTTGTACTCCTTGAAATCATAGCCAAACATGCTTACCCATGTGTGCTGTGGAATGGTGGAGAGGCACTGATCTAGCCAACTTGGCGTGCTGGATCGGGCCCTGCCCTGGTGGAGGATGGCGCCGAAACCTGAGCCCGAGGTGTCGCAGTCGATTAGCATCGGCCCGGAGGTGAGGGCTGACTTGAGGGTGTTTAAAGCCACAGAGGCTTCGTTGGTCCAGCGGAACGCATTGCGCTTGAGGAGGGCCGTTAGTGGTGCTTCGATGACACCATAGTTGTGGATGAAGCGGCAAGCCCTTGAGGCCAAGGAATCTGTGGAGTGCGCGGAGGACTGTGGCAGTGGCCAACTCTGCACTGCATCGATTTTGGCCGGGTCCATGGCCACATCTGCCTCTGAGATGAAGTGGCCCAGGTACTCTACCCGATGCTCAGCAAACGAGCACTTGGAGCGCTTCAGGAACAGATCGTGGGCATGCTGCGTGTTGAAGATGGTGCGGATGTGTTGCAGATGCTCTGCGAGGGACGTGCCGTATATCATAATGTCGTCAAAGAACACGAGCACAAAGCGACGAAGGAAGGGGCAAAGAACCTTGTTCCAACGCCATGAGCACGAACTCAAAGTGCTCGTGGTTGAGTTCGGAATGCCGTCTTTGTTGATTTCATCGGCATGCATACGGACTTGGTGATAACCGCTGCTGCGGAGGTCTAGCTTGGTGAAGTAAGTGGTGCCGCGGAGCTCATCCAGGAGCTCATTGACGATGGGAATGGGGAACATGTCGCGCACCGTCTTTGCATCAAGAGCGCGGTAGTCGATGCAAAATCTCCATGAGTCGTCCTTGCGCACGAGTAGGATGGGCGAAGAGAACGTCAATGTGCTGGTGGATCATGTCGGCACACTGCCGCTCAAGCTCGTCTTTGAGCAACTGTGGGTAGCGGCAGTGTTTTCAAGGCGTCGCCTAGGTGACGCCTAGGTGTCCAGGCGTACCCAGCTCGCCTTGGGAAACAGTGGCGCCTTGTGGTCAAGGCGCCGCCTAGGCGTCCAGGCGTACCAAACACTCGCCTGGACGCCTAACCGCCTTTAAAACTATGGGTAGTGGTAGGGGCGGACTGCGATCGGGGTCGTGCTAGGAGGGAGGTGAATCTGATGATCACTGGAGGCGGGGACCCCTGGGCGCTGCGACGCCGGTCCACCGGACACGGTGATCTTGGTGCTAGAACGCCATGGTCTGGCGGTCGAGGTCCCAAAGGATGGGGCCCAAGGACTTGAGCTATTGGCAGCCCAGAACGAGCTCGTAGTCGACGAGATGCAGGACGAAGAGGTCGATGCTGAACTCCTCGCCGCCGATGGTGACAGGCCCTTAGTTATATCCCCTAATGGCTGTTGTACACTAACAAGCCTGCTAACCAATCTCCTATTCTTACTCTCGAGATCCTAACTTGTAGCAGCAGCTCCCCTAACAGATAACTATGGCCCAGCGTTAGCCACTAGAGGCTGCTGGCGCCACCTTCTTCCTAGTGTATTGCTTTCCAATGAAAGCGTCCACAGACCACAACAAATATGTTCATGAGGTTTGTCGTTTGTCAAACTAACCGCATTTATGCAAAATGCTAAAATGACATTAATCTTTTTCTGTTTTCTGTTTTCCTTAAAAGTTGAACATTACCTTTTAGTGATATGCATCACAGGTATATATCATATAGTCATTTCACAGGCTAGGTTGCTTTTCTGTGAGTCACTATGATACTTATCTGTGATTTGTGGCAGACATGCTGAAGCAGTTTACTTTTTAGTTTGCATTTACTGGACAGGTATTTTGATGAGAATGCATTGAGTAAATGAACACAACATTCTGGTTTGAAAATTATATTTCTTGTATGGGAAAATCACTGACTTATAATTAAATTTTTCTACAGGGACAATTACGATCCAAAAAATTAGCATCATTTGTGTCATCCTTGAGTGGTGTCAAATGTAATACTCTTACTAACACACCGATATTACTGAAATTCTATATTTTTCTTATAAAAAAAATTCTATTGATACGCTTTATACCTTTATCATGTTGCAGTGAAATCATCGCACAAGAAAGCCACCATAACCACTCTATCAGAGGGTTTAAACAAAGCCGTTGCTGTTTTGGGAAAAGTTGTTCTTTTCATAAGACATGACAATGTTGCTCCACTGTAAGTTATCTTATCCCTAATATCCAGTGACCTAGTTGTGCCTGCTTTATCATACCGTTCCTTTTTTTGTCCATCTGATTACTCTTCATTTAGGCATTTCTATGTTTTTATTAAATAGCAGCAAATTGTTGCTAATTGATAGGAAGATGAAGGTAGTGGTAGTTCAAAGATATGTTAACTAATATTGAGTTATGTTAATCGTGATGTTTTCAAGTCATCAAACTAATCGTGGTTAGTCAGGCTAATCGATCCTCTGACCTCGATTAGGCACTATGCGATTAGAACGACTAGAAATCAAGTCGTCTTTTTAGTTGTCACGACTAAACGTCCGATTAGGTGGTGGACAGCTAGTCTGGAAGGGATGAAAAATGCAAGTAGGGCTTGGCAGCTGTGCACTTGGCACTTGGGCCAAGTGTTTTTCGCCTAATAGGGTTTCAGCATATATACCTCTCCTAGGCACCTCCCCTCCATCTGCCACCTATACAAGCTTTTGCAGTCGAGCGGGAGAGCAGAGAAACTCTTGCCGCTGCCGCCTTCTCCCTTTGCAGATGCCACCGCCTCCCTTTGCAGCTTCGTCCACCTCTTCCCTGCATTTGTGGCCCAGTATTGCTTGCTGCCCAGAAGCTCGTGAGGGGCAAGTCACTGGCTCCCATCCTTACCTCTGTCAGGGCGCCTTCCCTCAAGCACCACCAGATCTGGTGCCTCAAGCGGACAAGCACTGCTGGATCTCTTCCCTTGAGCACTGTTGGATCCCTTACTGAAGGTGCCACTGCCGACCGCCGGTTCACCCCTCCAGCTCCACGGGATTACGAAGATGAGCTCCTAATCCTTATTGTTCTCTTCCTCCATCATCCTGCCTTGCTCTACTACTACTGCTGCTCTAGCACTCTGGGTTAGATTCAGGAGTTCTGGACCAGGACAAAGACCAACTATACAGTATATAATTCTATGTAGCAGGGCATTTGGGCAGGACGACTATGGTAGTGTTTGGTTGGACGTATAGAGGTGAATGGGATGGATTATCTTGGATGGATAGATGATGTATGAGACAATTCTAGATGAGATGGTACATGTTGATTGATTGGTTAGTTGTATAGGATGATACATGTTTTTTGTTTGGACGGCTGTATGGAATGGTATGACTTACAACAACACAACAACAACATAGCCTTTCAGTCCCGAGCAAGTTGGGGTAGGCTAGAGTTCAAACCCACCAAGATCCCCAAGTCACGGTTCAGGCACTTCAATAGCTGCTTTCCAAGTACTCCTATTCAAACATAGATCTCTAGGTATATCCCAAGCTTTCAAATATCTTTTTATTGCCTCCCCCATGTCAATTTCGGTCTTTTTTTTTTTCTCGAAAACGCAGGAGAACTGCGCTTCATTGTATTAAGAAGATAATAAAAGGGGGGGGGGTGAGAACCCATACAACACAACACACACAAAACACATTGCAGCAGCTGCTGCTGCTACTAGGAAGCTAACGTGCCTTAGACATAGAAAAAACGACCAAAAAAGAGAGAGATGACGCTAACCACCCGGAGCGAGGGCATCCAAGAGGGATAATCCTCGAGCCCCCGCCAAAGACCACGACCTTCTGTCATCTTCCGCTACAGCAAGAGCGCCTGCAACACTTGGGGCTGCACCATCAAAACCACAACTGTTGCGGTGTCTCCATAAGGTCCAAGCTCCCAGGATCACGAGAGAGTTTATTCCTTTCCTTGCCATGTCACTAGCAAGACCTGTTTACTCTCTCCCACCACACAGTGAAAGGATATTTACGTGGATCATGGGAAAGGGCTTGGAGTCCCATCCGAGAAAAGAAGCGGAACCGAATTCTCTTGCAAAGACACACTTGAACTAAGAGGTGATCAATGGTTTTATGACCTGATCACACAACACAAAGGGATGAGGTGCTTGCAAGGCGATCCGCTGTCCAACAACGGTTGTGAGCCACCAACCAAACAAAGAAGCGGCATTTGGGCGGCGCCCAGGTCTTCCAAATTCTTTCACAGGGCTCAAAAGATATAGACCCCACAAAAAATCCCTTGTATGCAGTCTTCGGTCTTCCTCTAACTCTCCTCATATTATTAGCTTGGCTTTGAACTCCACAATGCACTGGTGCCTCTGGAGGTCTCCTTTGGACATGGCCAAATCACCTCAACCGATGTTGCACAAGCTTTTCTTCAATTGGTGCTACCTCTAGGCGATCACGTATATCATCGTTCCGAACTCGGTCCATTCTTGTGTGACCGCAAATCCATCGCAACATACGCATTTCTGCAACACTCAGTTGTTGAACATGTCGAATCTTTGTAGGCCAACATTCTGCACCATACAACATAGCCCGTCTAATCGCTGTTCTATAGAACTTGCTTTTTAGCTTTTGTGGTACCCTTATGTCACAGAGGATGCCAGAAGCTTGTTGCCACTTGATCCACCCTGCTTTGATTCTATGGCTAACACGTCCGCATCAATATCTCCATCCCTCTGTAGCATCAATCCCAGATACCGAAAGGTATCCTTCTTAGGCACTACTTGACCTTCCAAACTCACATCTCCCTCCTCCTATACAACTCCGCCAAAGTCGCATCTCATGTATTCGGTTTTATTTCTGCTCAATCTAAAACCTTTAGACTCAAGGGTCTGCCGCCATTACTCTAGTTTCCTATTTACTCCTGCCTGACTTTCGTCGACCAACACTACATCATCATCGATCAACATACACCAAGGGATATCTCCTTGTATGTTCCTGGTAACCTCATCCATTACCAAGGCAAAGAGATACGGGCTTAAGGCTGACCCTTGATGAAGTCCAATTTTAATCGGGAAGTAATCTGTGTTACCATGGTTTGTTCGAACACTAATCTGGAATGGTATGACTTAGTATTAAATTATGATTGGCTTATTGTATAGATCCGTCCAAGAATTTTAATTAAAACCTAGGGAAAGAAAGCTAATTGATCTTTACGACATTCATCTATTTTCTCAATTATAGTAATTTAGCAAGTTACTTATCACAAACAAAATAAAATCTTGTATTGTATTAAAACTGTACATCGAGATTCATTTTTACTATGTTCTTCCATATCTTTATTTACAATACAGAGACACTCTGTCATATATATCAAGCATATAAGTAATTATTCCCTTGACACCTTGTAAAAGCTTCCGGTCTTTGCCATAGCTCCAAATAGCAGTGGCGATGACAACAACATGTCCAGCATTACTCAAAAGAACTAGTTCAGTGCATGATGATGAAAAAAATATCTCCACATGCCTGCCAAGAAGAATCAACAGACCTAGCGAAAAGGAACCAGCAAAGTTAATTGCCTTCTTGCGGCATCTCAGTGCTACTTTTCATCGCTAGACAAAATTAAGTAGATGTCAAAATGAAGATCTGTGCAACCATTACGGACGCGTGCTGGTTAAAGGAAAAACTAAACACAATGAGTCATGAAGAAAATCTAAAGGAATTAAGACAAACAAAATCCAAAACAGAGATGTGAACGGACTGTTTTTGGAGCTGGGCGCGACAGCTCCGTTGTTTGGTCTCCATGCGCGGTGCCTGGCTCCACGCGCACGGATGGTGTCAGCCTGAGAAGAGCCCTGGCTACTGGCCTTGGTTGACGCACAGGAGCACTAGAGCGGCAGCCTGGGCGACACAGCTTGTGTTGGCGGCACCTGGGATGAGGACCAGGCGCTAGCAAGCCGCAGTTCGTACCGGGGAGGGGGTTGGAGGCGAGCGAGTGCGAGATGCTTTGGCCCTAGATGGCGTTGTTTGGTGTTTTCTGGTGCATAGGATTGCACATCATCTGTCAAAAATATTTGAAGCATCTGGATAATTCGGTCTTGGATGAATCTGTTCAATCCGGCATCCAAACAGTGAGATAGGTGGGCCCTAGTATTCAAGATGCAGCGGTGCATGTACGGTTTAGTCCTAGGAAGCAAACGCGGACTATACTGTCGATTAGGACCAAATAAGCTTGACTAATTGAGCTGGTTGATGACAAATTATGATTAGTAGGCTGGTCGATTAGATGATGAAAACATATGTGAGGAAAACATATCTGCAAGCTAAAACAAACAGGGCCCAACATATGTTCCAACGTGCCTGCTTTAACTTGCTTGAAACTAAAAGGCTTTATTGTTGCCGTTGCAACATTCAAGCACCTATCTGCAGTACTTGTAGTTGAGGAGATAGTGTTAAATAGTAATGTGGAAGAAAGAAGTGAAATTGGCTCTTGATCTAATTCTCTGTTTTAAAGAAACTGTTATAACTGTTAAGAATAAAGAGGGACTGAATTGGATTGATTCTATTGAGGCCCAAAGGGGGACAATATAGAGTACATGAGGGACACAGGAAGGAAACCCTAGACTAGGTAGATTACACTAATGCCCTTGACTATTACCTTAACACCCCCTCTCAAATGCAACGTGAATGCAATGCTGTTGCATTTGGAGATTACAGTTAAACTGTAATCAAGATGAATCTTTTGTGGTTCCCATGTGTTTCATACATAGGGTCCTTAGACTAGTTCAGTTGGTAGGAAGTACGATGTGTGTGTGTACACTCCCACCACCTATATTCGAGGCATCACCACGAATCAGGTTTCTTATTTACATGGCCACCTAGCTCATTAGTTGGTTGATGTTTTTAACTGTGTTCCATGGGTGAACAAGATTGCGATGTGCTTACTCAAGCATTTTTGTAATGATTTGAGCTCGTTGAACTGTGCTAAGCATTAGGATTTTTTTTTTGTAAAGCAAAGCAATGAGATTTTCCTTGGCACAAAGAATTATTCAAGTTTTCATTATAGTTTCCCTTTTTTTATTTGGGACAATAGCTTATCTGCCCTCATTTTGAACTTTTCTTGTTTGGCCTCCCTTTTTTGAAATCCAATATGCCGCTTGCCCCTCTTTCCTACCGGCATCTAAGGCTGCTCAATTTTTCAAATTACAAAAAAAAGATTGACTCGTTGAGAAATAGATTCATGTTGGCACAAGCCAAAAATGCCATGTGGTAAGGTATATATTAGTCAAGGGCAATAGTGTAATCTCCTAGTCTAGGGTTTCTCTCCAGTGTCTTGTGTTCTCTAATATATAGTCCCCTTTGGGCCTCAATACAATCATCTAGTTCGGTCTCCCTTTAGTCGTAACATGGTATCAAAGCCCTTGGGAGGATCCATCTTTGCTCCCGTGGAAAAGAGGGCACGCGCGGAGGGAATGGCACTACGTTTGTCGCGGTAGGGAGGGCGGCGTGCGGTGCGCATGGGAAGAGGGGCCGGGTAAGTATGTGAGGTAGGCAGCGCGCGGAATGGACGGCGCGCGGAGCCGAGGAGCTTGGGGAAGAGCAGAAGGTGCAGCATGCGGAGGGAAGAGGGCGCGGCACAGAGGGAGGCAGGGGTGGGCGACTGAGGATCGGCGGCGCAGGAAACAACGAAGATGGGGCTGGGCGCGCTCGTCGATGCGGGAGGAGATGGACGCGCGACCAAGGGTCGGCGGCGCGGCGCGGGGAGGTGAGCGGATGCGGCCGTGGAGAAGACGAGCCAGAAAAACAACCTAGGCGGCGGACACCATGTAGAATGTCAGAGCCAGTAGAACACCTCACACCCATTAGGGATGGGTGACTTTCATATATATAGACACAAGCCCGTTAGTACATTTACAATTAGACCCCTAGAATATACCTAACAAAGATGTTAAGTGTATGAAGGTCCATATGGCCCATGTGGCTCCTATATATATAGTCATCTCCTTTGCGATAGTGTTGAGCTTCTCACATCTCCAAGGTTAACATGGTATCAAAGCAAGGATTTGAGTTAGACTAGTTAATCCACCTGAGATCCATTTTTTACATGGGGATCCCTTGTCTCTTCAACCTTCTCCCATCGCGG